GGCGCTCTCGGTTCTCAACAGCGTCTTCACCGGCATCTTTACGTGCGAAGCGATTCTCAAACTCAACGCGTTTGGCTACGCCTACTTTGACGACGCATGGAACCGGTTCGACTTTACCATCGTCGTGTTTGCCTTGGTGAGCATTATCTTGCCGCTCGTGACAACGTCCGTGAGTCTCGGCGCCGAGCTGACCGTCGTCCGCGTCTTCCGCGTCGGGCGCGCGCTCCGGCTCATCAAGAAGGCCAAGCTCATGAAAAACCTCTTCGACACGCTCACCGTGTCGCTGCCAGCGGTGGGAAACGTCACGAGCTTGCTCATGCTCCTCTTCTACATTTACTCGGCCGTCGGCGTCCAGCTCTTTGCCAAAGTGGCATTCGACAACCAGCTCATCCATTCGTACCAGAACTTTCAAAATTTCTTCCGCGCGCTCCAAGCCCTCATTGGCTTTAGCACGGGCGAGAACTGGAACAACTTTACGTGGGAAATCTACTACACGTCGCCAGCGACCAACCCGAACTGCGACGATCGCACCTTCAACGACCACATGTGCGGCTTCAACGACACGGACCCGGACTGCATTCCACTCGACGGCTGCGGCTCGTGGTTTATTGTGCCCTTCATGTACTCGATGTACCTCATCATCGGGTACCTTGGCATGAACCTCTTCTCCGGTATCGTGATTGACGCGATTGGCGACTCGTCCGCCGCGTCCCCCGTGAACCCCGCGACGCTGGCCGAGTTTGCGGACCGTTGGGCCGAGTTTGACCCGCAGGGCGGCGGCTTGATCACGGCCGAAGAGCTCGCGGACTTTCTCTACACCGTGTACCCCCCGTTTGGCTTCAAGTCCGTGCCGGGCTTTACACGACGCCGTGTCGTCATTGCGATTGGTATGTCATTGTGCGTTGCGACTGACATGCTCAAGTCTTGCGTAGGAGAACTCGATATTCCCGTCTACGACAAGATCTACGTCCACTTCAAGGACGTGCCGCGGGCCCTCGTCATGCGCGTCTTGGCCGAGGTAGGTCCTGTCGTGCATGTCGTGCATGATGGGGTCTGAAGGCTATAAATTAGGGCAGCGTCACCAAGTACAACGAAATCAACAAGCTCATGGACCAACTCGGCATCAACAAGCAGTTTGACGAACTCTGGCACCGCCGGCGCGGCAAGAAGCAAAAGGACCGGCTCTCGATGCGAGAGGTCGGCCGCGTCAAGGAGTACTCGGCCACCATCATGATCCAGCGCTTCGTCCAACGCGCGCGTGCCAAGCGATTGCGCGCCAAGATCGCTGCCACCGAGGGATCGTCGGCAGACCCCGAGCCTCCGTGCGAGTCGGCGGCGGTCCACGGAGAGTGTCTCATGTCGGTGGACGCCGAGGCGCATGAGGCGGCGACGGCCATTACGTGAAGCGTCTCCTTCTAAATGCTGTAAAGGCTCTGTAACATGTAGCAAGTTGTACGAAGCCCTCATTCGATAAAAATGTTTCGAGTGGATGTTAGCAAAATGGTTTGTCGGGCCACAGCCCGTGGGCCACGTCGTCATCGTCGGCCACAGTCGGATCCGTAGGCCTCTCCCCCATGACGTCATCGTGGTCGAGCACGATGTTGTCGGGGTCGATGCAAGTTGCGCTCCGTGCGTCGGCCATGTACATGGAGAAGGACACCTTGAACTCGTCGGTTTGGGCCCGCTTTTGCTGCATGCGCAGTCGGTCATGCTCGCGCCGAAGATTGCGCGCCTCTAGCGTCTCACTCTCTCGTCGCAGGCGCGCTCGCTCGCGGGCCTGCTGCTTCCACTTTTCCTTTTCGTCGTCCGAGGCGAGCTGCCGGCGCGCGGCCACACGGGCGCGGTTCTTCTCCCGGCGCCGCGCCGCCTCGTCGGCGCCCTCGCTGCGACGCAGCTTGGCCATGCGCAGTCGGCCTTTCGCCAACCGTTCCTCCTTCTCTTCCGGCGTCTCGCGGTAGCGTTTCCGGGCGGCGCGGGCGCGCGCGAGCTCCTTGGCGCGGTCCGTTGCGTCCTCCATCGTCAAGTCCTTTTTACGGACTTTCGGACTTTCGGCCTCGAATAAGGCATGTCTAAAGATAGATCCTGAAAACGAAAAACAACCTTTGGGCCAAGTCGTGAAACAGCCGCGAACGGAGGCAGCAGCAGCATGGGCCTGAGCGCGCCAGCGCAGATGTCCGCCTTGATGCAAAAGGCGAGCATGGGTCGAACGTACCGCGATGCGAAGAAGGTACGTGGGCTCGGAATCTAGACGTCTTTCTCATGCCTCATGCAGGTGCAGCGCATCTCGCTCGGGTGCCTCACGGTCAAGCACCCTTTCCGAAGAGTGTGCATCAAGATCTTCCAGTCGCCGTGGTTTGACCGGATCGTGATCCTCGTCGTGTGCTTCAACACTGCGATCCTGGGCCTCGTCGACTACGAGAAAGCGTGGGCCGAGGGCCCCAACCCGAACGTGGGCTACAACCGCTTTATCGAGCTCTTCAACTCGATTAGCCTCTACTTCTTCGCAGCTGAAATGGCCATCAAGATTGTGGCCATGGGCTTTGTCGTTGGCGAAGGCGCGTACTTGAGCAACAACTGGAACCGCCTCGACTTTGTCATTGTGCTCTCCGGGTACGACGCTAAGGGGTTCAAATCATTTCTTATGGCACTATAGCATGCTCAATTGGCTCAACATCCGCGTTGGCTTTATCCGCGTCCTGCGCGTCCTTCGGCCGCTGCGGACGCTGCACTCGTTTCCCGGTCTCAAGATCCTCACCAACTCGCTCCTCGCCAGTCTACCAGCACTCGGAAACGTGGCCATCTTGCTCTCGTTCAGCTACATTGTGTTTGCGATTCTCGGTATGGAAATTTGGCGCGGCGGGTTCCACCCGCGCTGCCGCCTCACGCCCTTCCCGATTGCACTGCCATTTGACCCGGCGACCGCTCCCGTCGGTGCGTACCCTGTGAGCCAGGCGTATCTGAACCAAGTCCTTGCCAACCCTTCATGGTACCGCTGCAACAAGACAGAAGGCGTCCCGTACGAGGTCAACGACACGTGGACGCAACCCATGGGGTGCTTTTGGCCGCTCGATACGGACGCCGACCCGACAATCTACACGCGTTTCTGCGTCGAGGCCGGTGAAGTCGGTCGGCAGTGCGGCCTCAAGACGTGGTGCGGCTCCAACTACGACAGCGACGGCCGCCCACGGTTTCTGGACATTGCGACACGCGAATGGTCTTACTCGATCATGGCCCAGCCAACGTTTACGTCCAACCTCAACTTTGGGTTTACCAACTTTGACAATCTCGGCAACACGTTCATGATCATCCTCCAAGTGGTCACTGCATCCGGGTGGATGGCACTTACGGAAATGGTACGTCGCTTCAAACACCTCGTTTGCCGACTTATGTTTGCTCAGACGCAATGTGCGGGCAACCCCGCGGTCGCGGCCATCTACTTCAACGCGCTTCTCTTCTTTGGCATGTGCTTCCTCTTGCAGCTCAACATGGCCGTGCTTTGTACCGAGTTTGACAAGGCCAAAGAGAACCAAGAGAAAATAGCCCGCGCCAACGAGTACGAAAAGTTGACGTGGTCGTCGTGACATGCAAGCATACATGTAGGGCCAAGCTCATTGCCGAGCTGCATGCCAGCATCAAGTCGCGTCTCTCGGCTGTGCAGTCCCAAGCGATCGCAAACAACAAGGCGGGAGAGCCCAACGTGGTCGTGGCGGCCCATCCGGACCACCAGCATCTGGGCGACGTCGTTGTCGGCTCGGCAGCGTCGCGCCACATGGTCATCCTGCGGGCGGCGGCAAGGAAGCTCGTCCTCAACGACAACTTTCGGCAGTTTGGTCTCGCCATAACGGTCGGCAACATCTTTGTCATGTCGCTCAACCACGCCAACCAAACCGATGCCTTCATGTACAACAGCGAAATCGTCAACTTCGTCTTCCTCCTCTATTTTGTGTGGGAGTCGAGCGTCAAAATGCTCGGTATCGGCTTTGGTCCGTTCTGGCGGTACGCGTGTGTGTGCTCTGCCTTTGTCTAACGCTACGATGTGTAGCGACAAGTTTAATCGATTCGACTTGCTCACCGTGCTTTTGGGTGCGATCGAGTTTGCGACCAACCCGCCGACGTTCATCGACGGCACGCCGGGGGGGCCTGGTGCGTTCACGTCGTTTCGCGCCCTCCGCGCGCTCAAGATTGCACGGGCATGGAAGGGTCTCAACAAACTCTTGACGGCCATTATGAAGTCGTTTGGCGAGATTCTCAACTTTCTCTTCTTCCTCGTCATTTTTTGCTACATCTTTGCGCTCCTCGGCATGGAGGTACTCATCGCGACCCTATTGTTTGTTTGTTTCTGATGGCGCGACTAGATTTTTGCGACCAAGTATCAATTTGACCAAAACAACTTGGCGCTGCCGTTCAACAATACCAACCCTACGTCGCAACTGCATCGTAGCAACTATGACAGCGTGACATGGGCTGTCTTTACCGTCTTCCAAGTCATCACATACGACAACTTTCCGAGCGTCACGTACGACGGCTGGATCAGCGTCGGGTGGGCCTCGCCCGTGTACCATGCTTCGATCATCGTGCTGGGCGTTTGGGTCGTCATGAACATGTTTCTCGCGATTCTCGTGGGTGCGTGCATGGACGACGACGAAGGCGATAGCACCGAAACGATCCTTGACGACGCCACCGACGACGCGAAAGAGCCGCCAGGGCACGTCGTCCGCAACGTGCGTCGGGCCAAGCGCGCGATGTTTCAATTGCTAACGTTCTTTGACGCGACCGTGTACGACCCAATTGCCGAAGAGAAGCGCGAGCATGCCAAGTTCCACCTCAACAAGGGCTACAGCCTCTTTGTCTTTGCGCCCGAGAACGTCCTTCGGGCGAGCTGCGTCGGCTTGCTCAAGCGGCGCGAGTGGTCGTGGTTCATATCGCTCTCGGTGTTTGTGTCGTGCATCTTTACCGCCATTGACACGCCGCTGCTGGACCCGAATTCGTCGCTCGGACTCTCGATTGCGGTCTCCAACAACCTCTTTGCGATCCTCTTCTCGATCGAGTTGGGCCTCACGGTCATCGCCAAAGGGCTCTTCTTTGGCAAAGACGCGTACGTCAAGGACGCGTGGCGGCTTCTCGATGGCTTCATCGTGACCGTCTCGGTCTTGCCGTATATGATTGGGGGTGGCAACGGCGCGCTCTCGGCGCTGCGCGCGCTGCGGGGGCTTCGCGCCTTGCGCCCGCTTCGCGTCATCAACAAGCTGCCGCAGCTCAAGATCGTTGTCAACACGCTCTTCCGGTGCATTCCCGACATCATCAACGCGCTCGTCTTCTTCCTCTTCATGCTCTTCATCTTTGGCTTGATGGGGGTCACCTTTTTCAAGGGCGCCTTCAACTCGTGCTCGATCAGCCCGTACACGTACACCCAAGGCACAGGCACACCGGCGTTCCCCCCGTGGTTTCCGTCCGGGTACAACGGAGACTTTGTGACCAACATGACGAGTATCGACACGATGACGTACCCGGTCGCGTGGAAGGACATGACGCTTGCTCAAAGAGCGCCGTATGCAGCCGTATGGAACACAACCGACTGCGGGCCGTTTGCCGACAACTACAAGCCCACGTCCAAGCAAATCTGCCTCTGCTTCGCGTCGACCCAAAATACGACCTGGAGCCCGGTCGTGCCACAGAAATTCGACAACATTTTCTGGGCCGTCGGTGGGTTGTACGAGCTGACGACGATGGAAGCGTGGTCGCTCGCGGCCATGGCGGGCGTCGACGCGACGGGCGAAGACATGCAGCCCATCATGAACACGAATCTGTGGATGATCCTCTGGTGGTGGGTCTACATGATTGTGTGCGCGTGGTTTGTGACCAACCTCTTCATTGGCATCCTCTGCGACAGCTTTTGCCGCGAGTCGTACGGCGCTGTCGTCACCGAAGAGCAAATCAAGTGGATCAAACTGCAAAAAAAAGTCCTCGCGCTCGCGCCCCAAGTGTACTACCCGTCGCCCAAAGAGCCGTTCCGAAAACGCTGTTTTGAGATCGTGCACTATCGCTACACCGAGTACTTTGTGACTGCGTGCATCTTTCTCAACATTCTCACCATGTGCATGGACCAATTTGGCGACAGCATCGCGTTCCAGAACGGCCTCACGGTGTCCAACTATGTGTTTACCGGCGTCTTTGCCGTCGAAGCGTTCCTCAAACTCAACGCGTTTGGGTGGGCGTACTTTGACGACACATGGAATCGGTTCGACCTCGTCATCGTCGTCCTCACGGTCGTTAGCATCCTCCTCCCGTTCTTTACAAAGTCGCTGAGTCTTGGCACGGCGATCACGGTCGTCCGTGTCTTCCGCGTCGGGCGCGCGCTCCGCCTCATCAAGCAGGCCAAGACGATGAAGAACCTCATCGATACGCTCATCGTGTCGCTCCCGGCCGTCATCAACGTCACGAGCTTGCTCATGCTCCTCTTCTACATTTACTCGGCGCTCGGTGTCCAGTTTTTCGCCAAAGTGGCGCTCGACAACCAGCTCATCCACAAGTACCAGAACTTTCAAAACTTCTTCCGCGCGCTCCAAGCCCTCATTGGGTACAGCACGGGCGAGAACTGGAACAACTTTACGTGGGAAGTCTACTACACGTCGCCAGCGACCAACCCGAACTGCGTCGACCGGTCGTACAACGCGAGCATGTGCGGCTTTAACGACACCGAGTTTGACTGCGTCCCGCTCGACGGCTGCGGCACGTGGGGGATCATCCCGTACATGTACTCGATGTACCTCATCATCGGGTACCTTGGCATGAACCTCTTCTCTGGTATCGTGATTGACGCGATTGGCGACTCGTCCACCGACTCGCCCGTGAACGCCAACACGCTCGCTGAATTTGCCGAGCGCTGGGCCGACTTTGATCCGCGCGGGAGCGGCTTGATCACGGCCGAAGAGCTCGCAGACTTTCTCTACACCGTGTACCCCCCGTTTGGCTTCAAGGCGGTGCCGGGCTTTACACGGCGCCGCGTCGTCATTGCCATCGGTGGCTCCTCACTGCATCGCTCATGAGGTCTCACACATACCGTAGGTCAGCTTGACATTCCCATCTATGACAAAGTCTACGTGCATTTCAAAGACGTACCCCGGGCCCTCGTGACGCGGGTGCTGGCCGAGGTACGCCGACGTGCAACGCGGTCTCGCATCATCATGGGGGTAGGGCGACCCCGCCAAGCACGCCGAGATCAACAAGCTCATGGACCAGATGGGCATCAACAAGCAATTTGAAGAGATTTGGCACCGCCGGCGGGGCAAAAAGCAAAAGGAGCGACTCCTCCAGCGCGAAGTCGGGCCCGTCAAAGAGTACTCGGCGAGCGTCGTTATCCAGCGCTTCTTGACCAAGAGCAAGCTCCAGCGGCAATATGCGCGGTCGGCAACCTCCCGCCGCATCGTGACGAGCAACTCGCAGCCAGGACTCAACCCGGACGCGTCACCACCCCCGTTGGAAATGGACCAGAACCCCGAGGGTGCTGCCACCGACGGCCTTGAGCCGAGCCGCAACCGCCGCGATATGAACCTCGAGTCGATGGAGGGCCCGGACGCGGGCGAGACGTCGGGATCCGCGGCTGCAAGTTTATAACTGTTTAGAGTGTAGTTGGTATAATTTATGATGTATACATTCCGTATTCAACCCATACCGTGCATCAGCATCATGATTGCGTGTACAACATGTCCTTCATTACCCAGCGTCACCGTCGGGTGCGATACCGCCATGGGATTGGTTAAAATTCAAGTGTATTGCCCAATCACACGACGTGCCTATCGAAATCCGCACGCGCCAGGTTTCCATTTCCACAAGAATGAGTCAGAGCGACATGGCGACGATGGCCGTGGCCGAGACCGAGAAGCGCGGGGCTGGGGACGCCGGCGCCGAGGGCCGCGCGGACGTCCGCGTCCATCCCCTCGTGCTCATGAACCTCTGCGACCACTGGACACGGGCCCATGCCGGGGCCAAGCAGGTCATGGGCGCACTCTTTGGCATCCAGAAGGGCCGCAACATCGAGGTCATGGACTCGTTCGAGCTGCCGACGCCCGCCGAGCTCCAGTCGGCGGACAGCCCCGCGACGCTCAAGACCTTTTTGACGGAGCGCACGGAGCAGTTTGCCAAGGTCTTTCCCGGCTTTGAGTTTCTCGGCTGGTACGCGGTCCAGGACAAGATTCAGCCCTCCGACTTGGCCACGCACCGCATGGTAACCCTCTGCTTTAGATGCATGTCTATATGAACATTGGCGTAGCTCATGGAGTTCAACGAAAGCCCACTCTTCCTCGTGCTGGACCCGACGCCGCCACCGGCGACCAAGGGCGAACACGTCAAGCTCAAGCTGCCGCTCTCGCTCTACGAGTCGGAGCTCCACATGCTCAACAACACACCGACGATGCTCTTTGTCAAGACGCAGTTCAAAGTGCACACGACCGAGTCGGAGGGCATTGCGCTCGACCACATCTCCAAGGTGGCCCCCGGCGGCGCCGCCACCGAGTCGTCCCGTACGTGGCATCCATTGCATGTTCCATGACTATGTGTTTCATAGTCCATGGCGGTCTCGGCTCGATGCGTGATGCGATCCTGATGCTCGACAAGCAGCTCGGTGTCTTGCGCGCGTACCTTGAAGCGACCAAGCGAGGTACACTGACCTCGCTGGCTGCGTCGTCGTGAAGTCTCAGCGCCTAGGTGATATCCCTGTGGACCACGCGCTGCTCCGCCAAGTCGCGAGCATTTGCCAACAGCTCCCCGCAATGCGTTCGGACCTCTTTGCATCGACGTTTTCCCAGGTACTACCAATTTCTGGCTGTTCACACATCTGTACGTGCCGGTCTAGGAGTACAATGACACGCTCCTCGTCACGTACTTGGCGACGATCACAAAGGGCATTACGTGCACGAACGCGGTGCTCGACAAGTTTGCAATGACGCAGGACCGGCAGCACCCGCGCGGCCCGATGCTCTAAGCCGCTTATGACACGTCGATACACCAGTGTGCTCTTGCTATTCCTGCTTCTTATGCATCTGTGGCGGCCAGTCGGATCGTGTAGTGCTCGTACTTGAGCTCGTTCGCGTCCCAAACCGTCTCGAGGAGCGCCGACGGGCCTTCGGGCAGCGACTCGACCGGCACAATCGTCGTCACAAACGGCGGCGCCAAAAGCAGCTTTTGCAAGTGGAGCACGCCAAACCGACTGTGGCTCGTGGCATTGACGAGGTACGCGACGCCTACACGAATGCTGCACCCGGCGGCTTTGAAAACATCGAGTACCGTTGGGCTTGAGGCGGTGGCGCACCACGTTGGCAAAGCCTTCGGCCGTGCTTGGCTCGCAAATGATGTCGCTGGCCATGACGATGTCAACCTTGGGCGCCGACTACATAGGACCGTGTTCAGAAGACAGTAGCAAGAAGACCAGTTTACGAGGTCGAGGTGGTCCCAATCGAGGTGCTCAATCGTCACGTGCGATGTCGATGCGTCCAAGTTGAGGTCGACGTTGTACTGAAGCGCGTCGAGCGTGTCTTGCTGGTAGTCGGTCAAGGTCATCGTTTGGCTGTACGCGGCAGCCACGATACCACTCAGGCCAAGCCCGCTCCCGACTTCGAGGACGCTGCGCTCGCGGAAGCGCTCGCTGCAAAAATGCATCAAGCAAGTCCAGATGGAGTCGAGTAGTACCGGTTGAGGTGGACCCAGCGGGCCAAAATGACTGCCGCGCCCCACAGGAGGTACCCCGTCTTTGGCTGGCCCGTCATGCGCATCTTGACCGCGCGAATGAGCACCACGCGGTTCTCGTCGTCTCGGGCGTCGGTCGGCAGTGCTTGCAAAAGCGGCCACGTGCGCGTCGGGGGCTCGAGCGGCAGCGTTCTACCCGTTGCGTTATAAAGGTTGTAAAAAGAGAGAGGCACGTGAAGGGGAAGGACGTGTTGACGCCGGACGTGTTGGCTTTCTTGGACGAGCAGTTGACGACCACCGCCGACGCGCCCTAGCGTGGGTATAGCAGATACGGCGACGAGGTCCCATCCGTACATCTTGGATCAACTCGTGCTCGTGCATGAGGAGCTTCATAAGGACAAAGTGCAGGCCCAGCTGCGCTATTTTGAACTCCATCGTACTTGCCACCATCAACACAATCGTCGTACCTGCGTGGACGCAGTTGTCTTCGTCCGTAATGACCGCCGCCACGAGCAGCAAGATCTAAGCGTATCGCCATCACGCAGCGTACCGAGGCAAGTAAACTACCTTGTGCGTGCGCGCAATCGTGACTTCGTCGTCCTGGACGCGACTCTTTGTAAAGGCCGAGAGCTCGGTCATTGCGTACTCGAAAAAGCCCGCTAGATGCACATTGCAGCCGCGTGCTTGATGACAGCGAGGTGGTACCAATGCCAAGGAAGCAGCGACCGAGGCCGCTCGTCGACCAGACGCCAAGGCGGTCAAGGTCGTGCGACGCAAGCGCATCGCGCATCTCGGCGATGAGCGCATGCAGCGACGAGAGAGCGACGGGCATGACAAATCCACTTGTTCAAACGACCAATGAAACCCACTTGGCGACAGATGGCACCCGTCCAGCATTCAAGAACACGCAACTTTGTCATCGTGCGAAGTCCGATACTACGCCTAACGCGGGAACCAAGAGCAGCAACGGTTGGCGGCATGCGCCTGCGTAATGACACGGGAAGTGGACGAGCTCTTTGGGATACCACGCTGCACGCGCGGGTCTGAAGGGTCGCTTTGACTGCCATGGCTAAAAACACCGCGTTTTCATCTCGACAGGATATCATATCACTGGGAATGAATACCGAGGACATTGTACAGAATCAATTAAGACTATGAACTTATTGGTGCAGCACGGCGAGACGCGGTTCGTTGTGGAGGCGCTGGTCGAGCTCGGCGTACTTTTGCAGCGCGGTTTCTTCGTGGCGCGTCAAGCGCTGTTCGAGAATCTGGATCCGGAACATGGTTTCGCTGCAGAAGCGCTCAAACTCTTCGTCCGTGCCCTGGTCGTGCTCGCGCTGGCTGCGCTGGAACGCTGCCTGCTTCTTGGCGAGGGCGCTATTCTCCTTGTCGAGCCGCGTCTGAATAATGTTGGCGCGCTCGAGCAGCCGCTCCTTGAGGTTCTTCAAGCACGCGTCGCGCACATTGTGCGCTTCGTCCTTTGTAAGGCTCCCACTGTGGTGCTGCCCCACGGCGTGCAAGAACGGCGACAAGTAGTCCATCTCGACTTTGGTCTACCCACGATATTAGAGACTCGAATGCGACACGAAACATACCTCTTTGCTCTGCTTGCGTTGCTCCTCGGCCGCGTCGGCCTTGGACTCGTCTTCCTCGGCGTCGAAAATGCTCGTTTCGAGCGTAATCGCGGCCTCTTCGCGCTTGCGGTACTTGAGGATCTCCTGCGTCTCGACGTCCACGTGCCGGATCGCGTTGTAGCACTCCTTCTCCATCTAACGTGCGGTGTCTCGACACAGATTGCATGCTTGTCAACACCTGAATCACAGCCTGGAGTTCGCGCTCGAGGAGCGTCTCCTTGGGTCGCGCCGCCGTCGGGTCGACCTGAAAGACGTCCACGGGCGTGTTTGGCGCCTTGTGGTACACGCGGCTCGCCGACGTGATCTTGCCCTCGGCGTAGTGAAATTGAACGCGGATCGTGCCTTCGCGTACGTTGTACGTGCGCTTGCGTGCGTCCTAAGGATAGCTCTTGGCATCTATCAAGGTTTCAAGGGACTCTGGCAACCTCGTCGGCGTCGCGGTCAATGTTTCGGCCAAACTTTTCCGCCATGCGACGCACTGTGAGCTCGCCGGTCGCGCCACCCGGCAGAACAAACGGTGTCGGTGTCTTGGCAATCGCCTCAGCGTGGTCCTTCTCTTCCGAGAGCGTCACGCTGCGGTGCTCGAGGTTGTCGTCGCGCCCATAAAAGGTCTCGGTGATGTGCTTGTGCACGACTTCTTCGCGCTTGACGAGGCCGTCCATGCGCGCGCTCGTGTAGAACGTCAGCTCGCGCCGAAACCCACTCCACTCGACGCGCGATTTCAACGCTTCGGGCTGCCGACCCGGTGCAAAGTGCTCTTCAAACTTGCCTTGGAGCGGGTACCGAATGCGCAAATGCAGTTTGTCCTTGCGGTTCTTGAAGAGCTCGCGGATCTCGATCGGGAGCGTCCGGCTCCGGTTGCGGTACAGCGTCAGCCGCCGCACCATGCCTTGCGCGTGCGTATTGTCGGCAAAGTCTTCGACTTTGCTCTTCTCGTACAGCGTCGTGCGCTGCGCTTCGTTGACGTACCGCTGCTTGTAGCGCTTGCGTTCGACGTGCAGCTTGACGACCCAGGACGGCGGGACATCGAGAATGTTGCTGTCGTCGTCGTTGTCGCCGCCTTGGTCGCTGCCGTCGCCCGAGTTGTTGCTGCTACCGCCTTCGAGGAGCGTATCGTGCACCTTGCCATCGCTGCCGTCGCCATGCGACGTCTTCTTCTCAAAGGACGACAAGAAGACGTACTCCCAGTCGGTCGCGTTTCCAAGGTCATACAGACACTGACTCAGTCGGTGCGGCTGCATGTTGACGTAGTAGTTTTGGTGGTTCCACACGCTCTCGATGCGCACGTACGGCGAGTCCCGGACCGGGTACAACCGCCCGGTCGAGGGCTCGACAAAGACGTGCTCGGTCACGTCGCGCCGGCCAGCGCGGACGAGCACCCATGCGTGCACGCGCTTCCCATCGAGCGGGTCGTCGTCGTCGTCGTCGTCGTCGTCCAAGTGTTTGGTCCAGTCTTGCATGGCCGCAATTTCAGCGCGCCGGGCCTCTTCCTTGGCCTCCATCATGGCCACAAACTTGCTCGTGGGCTTTGGCACGGCCGTATCGTCGTCGTCATGCTTGCTCTCGCTCACCTTGCCGGTCGACGTCTCGATGTCCAGCTTGCCGATTTCATCGAGGAACGGGCAGCGCGTCCGGCTCTGGTCGAGGAGGCACACCCAGCGCGGCGCAAAGCCGTTGACGACGTAGGCGTCGTAGCCCGACCCAATGAGGAACGAAACGAGGAGGTTCGCGAGATCGAACGAGTCGCCCGACTGCCAGTGGAGAACCGCGGCCGGCGACGGAAGACACAGCGGTGGCTTGCACGGGTCTGCGAGCGGCTCGTACTCGATGAGCCCCGAGACAAAGGTGGCGAGCTTCTCGAGGTTGTAGAGCTCGAGGAACGGTAGCAGCGTCGGGCGGATCGTCGTGCACACAAACTTGGGAATGCCACACTCGTTGGGTGGGCAGAGGTACAATGGCGGCCGGCCACTGTCGGGCAAAAGCTCTTCAAACTGCTTGCGAAAGTTGGCCACGTACTCGAGGCAGAGCAGCTCCTTGTTGGTGTTGGCCGTGTAGGAACCTGGCGCGTCGTTGCCGGCCGCGTCTTCGAGGCGCCGATGCTTGGTGCTCACGACACCCGCGACCGTAAATTGGCGGGGCGCCGGTGCGCTCCGGAAGAGGTTCTGCCGCTCCGAGAAGTCGACCTCGTCGTTGTTGTCGGGCATGGCTCTTCAAGATCTTATATACGCCACGCCGCTTCGAGGAATAACACTCGCTCCAATTATAACATGTTAGACGCATATAGTTTTACGCATTTACCCAGTTCGGATGCGTTTTAATCACAATACACTCTTCATATTACTCACACTAAATAAAGGGCTCGGGCACATGGTTTAGCTCTGCTGCACTGCCATTGGCGCTGCTGCGTCGTGCGTGCGACGATGGGTCGAGCAACTTCAAGGAGATCGCCACTCCCAACGCTTGCTTGCGCGTGTGTGCAGCGTCAAGTGGCCCCGGGAATGCACACTATTTCCGTGGCGTTTGTGGGTGGGCGGCCATCCGGATAAAAAGATTGGGGCCGTCATGATCATGAACGTCTTGCGCCGGCCGCAGCCCCTCACGCGCCATGCGCGGAGCTTTGGCATCGCCCACGACGAGATCGTGGCCCTCGCGCAGGTCTCGCCGACGCCGCTGACGCTGCAGCAGATGAAGACGTTCGCGACGAACGGCCCCGAGCTGCGGCTCAAGGCGGCGGCCTTTCTGCACAAGGAGCTGCAGATCCGCTTTGCGCGGTGCGTCGCTCACCAAATCGAGATGGCCGCTCACGCTTTCTTGTAGCGCAATTGTCGAGCTCTCGGAGCTGCCGATTGGGCTCAACGAGACAAAAGCCGTTCAAATGGCCATCCGCAACTACACGGACCACCTCGAGAGCGTGCGCGCGGCCAAGGTCCCGACGACGCTCGTACTACGCCACTGCGAATCGCACGACATGGAATATGTGTGTGTGCATAGGAAGAAGACGCTGTGTTTACGACCATGATCCGCGCCATGAAGAAGCGCGGGTCCAACTTGGTGCCGCTTATTTGCGGCGGGCTCCAAGAAGTGAGCCACACGGAAGAGGGCCGTAACGCGCTGCGTCTCCAAGAGATCCAAGTGCGATAGTTTATCGTAGCCTATTGACTAGTCGTCGCGTAGGACAGCGTCAACACGCGCTTGGACACATTCTTCCTCTCGCGCATTGGCATTCGCATGCTCATCGGGCAGCACTCGACGTACAACGACCAAATCTCGTAGCGTCATTATAACATGCTCCGATGTAGGGACGGTGGCCGCGTCAAGCTCTGTGATGTGCAAGACATTGTCCGTGAAGCGACCGAGCGGGCGAGTGCGCTCTGCGAACTGTACTGCGGCACGCCGCCCAAGGTCATCGTCAAGGTCGCTGCGAACGGCGCAGCGCCCTTCATGTATGTGCGCTCGCACTTGCATCACATGGTACGACGCGTCAATATTGCGTGTTATTGATCGCGATCTTTAGGTGTTTGAGCTGCTGAAAAACTCGATGCAAGCCACGGTTGAGCTCTACGGCCCCAAATCGCCGCGCCGCGAAACGTGCTCGGTCATGGACACCAAGCCCAAGATGAACCACATGAGCCCTCTCCTTGGCTTTGTCATTCCCGATGTAAGGCCTCATTCAGCAACGATAGTAGAAGCATCTCACATCTGATTTTCGTAGATGGACCATTTGGACGGTATCTCAATCTTCCCGCACCACGCCAACTCGCTGCGGTACGTGTTTCCATGCAGTAGCAAACGACCATGATCATGGTGGTGCAGGGGCGACTTGCCGCCCATCACGGTCGTCATCTGCCAAGGCCAAGAAGGTTGGGCTCTTGCGCAAATGACTGCAGAAATATCATTCTCGACATGGACTAGATTTGACCATCAAGATCTCGGACGTGGCTGGCGGCGTCCGTCGCAGCGATTGGCACCGTTTGTGGTACTACAACCACACGACGGCGAGCCAGGAGCCGCCGCAAGCGCTCGCGACTGGCGATTTTCGCGAGCATTTCAGCGGCGGCGGCTACGGGCTGCCGATTGGCCGGCTCTTTGCGCGGTACTTTGGCGGCGAAATCACGTTCCTCTCGTCCGAGGGGTATGGCTCGTCGGCGTTCATTCAAGCGCACCGCCTCGGGAAACAAACCGAGCTCGTGCCGGGCCACACCAACTTTACGCTCCAGCCGCTTAAATTCTAAGGCCCACTCCGCAACAATTTATACATTGGTCGTCCACTTCACAGACATATTGTCCACACAACGCTCGACGCGTTCAAATTCAACGACTGCCCACTTCAACATTACTAGCGTCTCTGGCCGAGAAGGTTCGTCGTCGGTGGGCGATTGAATACAAGTAGTCCAGTACCTCAAGGCGTCGCGACCTTATTGGGATGTTCGACGGTGTCGAGATGCAAGGGGCGCATCTTGCTAGTATTCTACGAGAAATGACAGAGCGTCCCTTGGGCGCCATCGAAGCTCGAGGCCGATTCGGCTCGATAGACGCGACGCCAGACGCGCCAATCACGTTGCAGCGCGCCGGTGGCGTCAACAGCCCACCCGACTTTCGAGACGCTTACGGGACCGGCGTTGGCCGCCATGCTCGCCTCCCCGCAGAGGCCGCCAGATAATCCTTGCTCGACAGACTTGATGGATCTAGAATCTGGTCGTGCCAGATTCGACGGCGCCAGATTCAACCCGTTTCGGCGCGACGCCGAAACCCTGTCTAATGCGTGGCTGTGTGCCCCGCCATCCGGATACAGGCGTCATCCGGATATAGATTGAAAGCGCCGTCAGTTTGGTGGCAGACAAGAATTCGTCGCGTGTCTGCCATGCGCCGTGTGTACGCCGTCTCGCGCCGCCGGTGGCTCTCGTCCGCCGCGTCCCAGCTGGCCATGGACCCGTGTCCGAGCGACGGCGGCTATGAAGAGGACGCGAGATGCGTCATCCGCCTCGAGGCGCTGCGCCAGCCGCCAGCACCCGAGCTCGTCGAGGACCTCAAGGCCGCGCGTCGGGATGCGGCCACGGGTCGCTTCGTGCATCCTGCGCACTGGAAGTACGAGATGACGACGCTCATGGACGTCCTCAAGTGGAAGTGGAACGCGACGGGCGAAGGCCCGTGTGTGCCCACCGACGTCGCCGAGCTCGATGCGGCGCTGCCAGTCTTGACGCCCGACTT